GTTCTTATTTCTCCCCATACCCCTGCCCTGCCTTCACCCTCTTCACCCTTCCTGATTTCCAAAGACTTTGTTTCTATTTTTTCCTTTTTTCACATTTTTCTTTTTTTCCCCCTTTTCCATTATTTCCTTTCCCCTCCCCTTCCCACTTCCCCTTTAGCCATTTTCTTCCTATTTCACACTATCAATTATACATTTGAACCTTATTTACACTTTTAGTTTTTCATACCAGAGAAACTTGAGCTATAAATGTCTGTTTCTCATTTTTTTTTTGCTTTTTTGAGACAGGGTCTCACTATGTAGTTGAGACTGATCTGGAACTCACTGTGTAGCCCAGGCTGGTCTCAAACTCACAGCGATTCTCCTGCCTCAGCCTCCCGAGTGCTGGGATTACAGGTGTGCGCCACCACGCCCGGCTTGTTTCTCATTCTTTATGGCTGAATTGTCACCACCTTTAGATAGGTTCTCCCAACTCTGCTGGGGAGAGGTCATGGAGGGTCACACTGCTCTGGCAGAACCACAACACTACTGACCCATTTATTTTCTGTACGGGTAGAATTCTAAGGCCCTGTAGAATGATGCAGAAGAACCAGTCATGTCCTTTCCCCAAATCCTCACCCTGGACCACTCTGGACAGCACACATAGGCTTTCTGTGTCCTGGTTTTAAAATCTGATGTAAAAGATGATGTTAAAAAAAACACTGAACTCCTTCAGTGTTGAAGGAGGGTGTGTAGGGTTAGCACAATGATTTTTTACTTCTTTCTACAGATCTTTTGTAATTCACATACACATCTTTCTTCTAGTGTTAGAAAAAACGAACCCTCTTTACACAAGTGTGTATTGTCTGCAAGGTAGTGTAAAAGTTCCTTTTGTCTCATGAAATAATTTTGTTTGGTTTCAGACTTAACTTATTTACCTGATCATTGTATCTCTGACTATAATATAAGTGCAGCATCTAATTATGCTTTTGAGATGGCTATTTATTCCTTGGTCCACAGTGGGGTTCTTTGGGAGCTATAACAAGCTATCTGTTAAACATAAGGACTAACAGCATGGAGCCCAGAGCTGATTCAGAGAACTGTTTTAATTTGAGGACCATTGCCCAGGTAAATAGCACCTGCTTTGGAACCATTATTGCCGAAGTAGTCAATGAATATTTTACATTTATACTTAACTATAATAGATGATTATTTTGGTGTTACCAAAGTATAAAACACATCTTAAATACAGGCGTGATTGAAAAATATGGTGTGTGTTTAAATTAAAAAAAATTTTACGGTAAAAGACACTTTACCATTAATCTCCTTCAGGATACTGTCCCTGCCTTTGAACACATCATTCCTGCTACTTTCTGAAGCAGTTCTGGAAGTCCTCTTTCATGAGCGTGTTTAGTTGTGGTGTTACGCCTGCCTTGATGTCCAGAACCCATTCAAAATGTTTACCTTTCCTGGTCATTTTGCCTTTGGGGCAGAGCCAGAAGTTACAAGGTGGTGAAATAAGGTGGATGAAGACACACAGTGATGTTTGGATGAGCCTTCTTTTTCACTGGCTGACACGTGGCAGCAGCATTTACCATAGTTTTGATCACACCTTGTAACATACAGTGACTCCCAGAACGGCTTTAGAAAGTGACAAGAATGATGGCTAAGTGTATTCAAAGCGAGGGGAGTGTCTCCAGGGTGTTAGTGGCAATGTGTCTTTCAGTGTAATGAGTTACAAAAACATCCCTGCAGTTTTCAGTCACCCTTGTGAAAGTAATATAAGTAAATACTTAGGGAAACTGACCATGGAAAACATCAAAATGATCATAGTATGATTTTGGTTTTAGTATCTAAAATTTACTTGTCAAATCTTAGGCAACATGATTAAGCCTTTGGCCTTGAACAGGGAATCTTCAAGAGCATCTTTTTCCTATGAGATTTTCTTTTAAAATGTATACACCTTTGTAGAAAGAGGCTATTTGTACTTTTCTACCTTTACACTTTCTTTGCCTTTCCAGTAATGTAGCAGTTAGTTATACCGGGGGAGCCAGACCTTTGGGAATGGCCTAGAGAACTGCTGACCGTAACAGTGCATCCTGTAAGTGAGTTCGAGTGTTGTCCTTTACAGGATATTCCAAGTCAGGAAAGAGGTGAAATTCTTTCCAAGGAGACAAAACTAGTCTAAGGGAGGGGTAATGTTTCTCCAGCATCTTATCAATTGCTATTTAGAGGAAAGGATTTAGGAGGCTAAAAACATGGCTTATTGCCCAAGGCACATAGGTTTCATTTTTTTTAATTCATTAAGTTTATTGGTACATTTTAGGTATGCAGTGTGATGAAATTCATCGTTGGGAATTTGTACCTTTACATGATATATCTTGGTTCTTACTTTTCCCCCATTTCCCTTCCCTCCCTTCAACCCCTCCACCTCTCCCTATTGGCAAAGACTTTGTTTCCGTTTTCCCCTTTTCTCATATTTATTCCTTTCCCGTCTTTCCTTTTCCCTATGCCCCCTTCTTCCCTTCGCCTTTGGACCTTTTCTTCCTGTTTCACATTATCAATTATACATTTGGATCCTTATTTACACTTTCAGTTTCTCACACCAGAGAAACTCCAGTATTTACACATGTGTGTCTTATTTTTATTTCACGTGCGTATGGCCTCTATGCATCCATTTAGCTGTAAATGTCTCTAGTTTCTCATACTTTATGGCCGAGCAGTACACCGTTTTATAAAAAACACACATCTTTATCCAGTCTCCAGTTGATGGACACTTGTGCTATTTCCAAGTTTTACTTATTACAAACTGTGCTGCTATAAATATGGGTACACAAATATTGCTGTAGTATGATCCTTTTAATTCTAGATTTCATTCTTTTTGTTTTGTTTTGGTACCAGAGATTGAACTCAGGTCCTTGTGCTTGCGAGGCAGGTGGCGGAACCACTGAGCCAAATCCTCGGCCCTAGATTTCATTCTTAAGCAGATTTCTGGAAGACTGGTACTGTGAAACAGATAAATGTGCCTAATTTTCTTTTTGCCCCCCCACTGAAGATTTTAAATATAAAACAACCTAAAACCTAAACATTAATTACAACTTAACAAATAGGAAAAACAAACCATCATTACTTTAACTTCCTAATTAAAAAGTCATTAGCATTTTGGTGTGAATAATTTTTATGAATATGCCATAGTTGCCATCATATCTATATATAAATATATATATGAATATATAAATACTACATTATATGTACTGTGCATATACATATTGTATATTTGTAGACATATAAGCACATAAAGTATATACTTATGTACATGAACATATGTGCTTAAAGTTAGTCAAAGATTTTCTCAGATAACTATAGTCTTTCTAATCAATATTGTGGAATGGTTATGTAACATTTTGAGGTGTTTAGTAACTTATTTAGCCATTCCTCTCTGGATGGAAATATGCTTTGTTTCTAGGAGGACCTCGTGTCCACTGGCCCACCCACTGACAGCACTGAGATGGTCTGCGGCGGCTTCTGTCTTCTTTTTCCACCCATTCTCAGGGCATCTCTCCAGGATCCACATTCTGGAATGTTCCCTGTCAGGGCCTGATCTCAGAGGTCAAGAGTCATTTTGGCTGTCTTGCTCTGCTCTACCCTGACATACTTGACATTTTGAACTATTCCTTCTCGTGTCTGTCTTGCCAGGAATTTGGACATAACTTCTCCCTTTCTCCTCTGATTCTCTCCAACCCTATCTGCCTGTTTCCTGCCAGCCTGGAGTTTATAGATCTCAGCTTGGGCCAGATATTCTAGGCTTTCACCCACTATTGGATAAAAATGGATGTGGCAGGGAAAGGCCACTAAATCTCCAGTTTCTGCTTATTATAAACAACACTAGATGAACAGCTATTGTTTTTTGTTTTGTTTTATTTTACATAATTTTCCCTGTATAGTTAGGATTATTTTCTTAGGACAGAATTCCAGAAGTGAAATTACTGAATTAAAAAGTATGTTTTCAAAGCCGTTAATATTTATTGTCAACTGAATATAGACATTATCTCCCTGGCTCTCGCTGTAGCCCTGTCCGTGTTCCCATTGTGGATAAGGAAATGGAGGCACAGTGGGTATGGGTACCACTACAAGGCATTTTGAGAGCTGTCATTCTGGGTCAGAGTTTTGTTAATGTGTTTGCTTGCTTTTTCTTTGGAAGGACTAAGATAACAGGAAAGTTGACTGAAATAATTTTATTTCTTTTAAAAAGCAGTTGTGATTTCTTTTGAAACCTTAGTTGTACAAGGTCAGTTTAGGCCAAAGGATAAACAGGGAGGGCTCCTTGGTGACAGGTGATCAGGGCATGACCCTAGCTGGTGCATTGCACTGTGTGAGGATCTGTGAGGTTGTGGAGCTGGAAGGTGGCCTCCACATGGGAGAGAGGAGCGGTCCAGAAGCATGCCTGGAGCCAGGACAGTTCTTGGCACAGAGTAAGGGATCAGGAAATGTTTGTAGAATGAATGAAAATGTACCAGTTAGGATTAGTTTCAGGCATGAGGGACAGAAGCCCTGAAAATAATAGGATCTTAAACTGGGTGGGAATGTATGTCTTATGTAAAGTAGATGTAGCAAAAAGCAAGCTAGGTTCCTGCTTTCTTCCTGTCTCACTGCTCCGTGTTTCTGGGCACATGACTCTTACTTCTGGCCACCACATCAGTGTTTCCAAGTAGACAGAAAGGGGACAGGCACATCGCTCTGTCACAGTGCATCCCGGTGCTGCTCACAGCCCTTCACTTAGGTCACATGGGTCAGAACTTAGTTACAGGTCACACCAGCTGCATAACGGCTAGAAAAGGACTTTATAGGGGCGACCGCGTGTCCCAGGTAAGTTGGGGGTTCTGCTACTGTGGAAGAAGGGAAGATATGTATTCTGGGCACACCCAGCAAGATCTCTCAGTAGTGTGCTTAAATCCACTTAGGAATTAAAACTATTCACGCATTAAAATTTAAATAACCACATGAAGCTGTTGTGTATTATTCAGATCAACTGATTACTATAGATGAAATGAAGCCCAGATCCTTACAAAAAGGCTGATGGACTGAGAGACTAAAGAGAGGTGATGCATTTGAGGATGTGAATCCAAATACTTGGAGGTAAGTGGGGGGAACTAGAGACAGCTTGAGGCCAGCAGATTTTTATAGTAGGCAGAGGTGGTAAAAAAAATACATACCATGATGTTATGAATAAGATTTATTTGCTTTTGGTCATCAAGAAAAGGTCATAGTAGTAGTTTTGAAATGAATATATTTTAAAGGATACCTTTACCTTCTATAAACACGTCTTTAAAGCTGTTTTACTTGGATACTGCCCTAGTTAGCGGTTCTTCAAGGTCTCAGTTTTTTCCATTGGGCTCTTCTGGTGGTGGAGATTTCTCCAAGTGTAGGAACAACAGGGCCTCTCTTCTACAACTGCTTCTCTAGGGCCTCCAACATAAAAGAGAAATGTGTGAAAAATTAGAGGCTGGATTTCTTTTTCTTCATTTACTATTTTAAAAATTGCTCACATAGTACCTACTCAGTTAAAGCATCAGAAAATAAGGGTGAAAATACCCAGTAGTGTAACTCTCCAGAAAGGACCTTCATTAATCTTTCACTGTAGCCCTTCCAGATTTTTTAACCTCTTTTTGTAAATACAGTCATATAAGTAAGTGTTCATTAAAGACACGCTGTCAAACATTTTATAATCTTTATTTTTTATTTTTTTGTTGTTTTCCTATTAAGTTTATTGGTACAATTTAGATATACAGTAGAGTTATGTTCATCATTGGGATCTTGTACCTGTACATGACAGGTCTTGATTTTTGATTTTTCCCATTGCCCTGCCCTCCCTTTACCCCCTCCACCATTCTTTATTTATAAAGACATTGTATCCATTTTCTCATTTTTTTCTTTTCCCTTCTTACCTTTCCCCTACTCCTCCCACTCCCCCTACTCCTTTAGACCTTTTCTTCCTATTACAGAATATCAATTATACATTTAGATCCTTATTGACACTCTGAGTTTTCCACACCAGAGGGAGTGCACTCTTTCAAGGAATATCGGGACCCTGGCTTCCCCTCTTTGCCTCCTTGCTGCCATGAGACGAGCAGCTTCCTCTGCCACACTCTCCCACCATAATGTTCTGCCTCACCACAGGCTCAAAGCAGTGGGGCCGAGACCATGGACTGAAAGCTCAGAAACCAGGAGACAACATAAGCCTCCCCTCTTTATAAGTTTATTATCTCAGATGTTTTGTTATGGTATCACAAAGCTGTTTAACAGAAGGGTTCAGCAAACAACTAGCACACTGTCCCAATAATATTCTGCCCTCAACTTTTTCATTTGCAAAATAATCATCAGATATAAATGAGGTAACTAATGCTAAATCAGTAGTATTCAAGCACAGCATAATAAAATATATAATATGAAATTGCAGTAAAAGATATTTTTATTTACCTAATCCTATAATCCCTAAAAGGAATCAGTTGCTAATTCCTGTCATGTACTTCAAGCATGGTTCAATTTATTCTTTCTTTTTTTTTTTTTTTTATTGAGTTTATTGGTACAATCTACGTATACAACACAGTTAATTCATTATTGGAATCCTGTACCTTTACATGATAGGCCTTCTCATTTTTTTTCCCCTTGTCTCTGCCCTCCCTTCACCCCTCCTCCCCTCCCCATTTACACTTTATTCCATTTTTTCCAATTTCTCATATTTTTTTCCTCTCCCTATTACCTTTCCCCACCCTTCCCACTTTCCCAACACCTTTAGCCCTTTACTTCCTATTTCACCTTATTAATTATCTCATTAGGATCCTGTGTACTAGTATAGTTTTTCACACCAGATAAACTATTCGGTTTCAGTTAA